ATATATACATATATATACACACATATATACATGTATATATATGTATATATATATATATATGTATATATATATATGTATATATATGTGTGTATATATATGTATATATGTATATATATGTACTGTATATAATATGGTCATAGTTCAGTTCTTCTCTCTTGTCAACTCGGACCTCTAGTCCAGAACCTCCATAAGATCTCAATTCATTGTTAACAAAAAGAATCAAAAAACAACAAATAGATTTCTATCAAATCGTTTAAACGTACTTTATCGGCAGCTACAGTGTCTTTACATAAACTAATGTACAAAGTATATAATGTTTAAAGGAAAAAATACCACTGAAGGCAAAACAGACTAAAAAGATAGGAAGCTTTTTATAAACCTGTTTTATTAGTGCGATGCATTTAATGTCCACTGATGAGAGCGTTTACAGTGACGGCTCCACATAGAGACACGACATGCAGTTAAGGATCAAATAGCACAACAACTCATATTCATACATTCTTACCCTCTGCACCCTGAATTATAAAAGAGACTCGATTTCAAATGGAGGAACTTTAAGAAAAATCCATTTCTTAGTGGATTCCCTTTTCAGTTCTTAATCCCTTTTTAATCCTTTTCCTGGTTTACGCGTCACCTTTAGGTCTCCAGGGAACAACGTCACATCGTCTGCAAACGTGTGAATATCGCCATCGCATTGGTTTGGCACAAATGGCCGAACTAAAGGGAATGCTGCCGGGTACAGAACCTCAGCTGGTACCTTTCAGCTTCACCGTTCAGAGGCTGGCAAACAGTAACACAACACAGGTACGTTGGCAGTAGGAACTTATTTTTGTGTAACATTTCAACGTATTCTAGTGCAAATGCCAAAAAGACTGGAATGTATTTAAAGAGTCTGTCTTCACAGTTTGTGCGAACGAGACCTCGTCTTCCACTAAAGGGACGCAAACGTGAGGACGAGACCTCGTCTTCCACTAAAGGGACGTAAACGTGTGGACGAGACGAGCTTCTCGACTCCGTAAAACTAGGTTTACTGGCAGGAATCAGCAGGGCAGTTCTAAGAAGATCCAATAAGTGTAGACGTGGAAAACGTTACCAGAAAGACAAACGTTATGACATCATTACAGTGATCAACAGTCCGGCCGTGTCACGAGCGACGATAAAGTTTAAAGAATTAAAGTTTTTCATTCTCCGTCTCCAAGCGTCCCTTTGCATTTCATAAAGTTCTATTGAAGACGTAGACGTGTGCTGCACGCTGCCACAATACATCACTGTGTGTTGATGTAATACATAGTGAAATATCACCAGACCTAATGGACAACCTCTGCTGTGTTTTTGGGAGGGGGGAGGGGGGAGGGGGGAGGCAGGATGAATGTTTGTGGGCTCCTGACAACAGAAGATGCTCTGATGATCCCGTGTTTCAGCTCTTTATCTTGTCTCTCATCACTATTAAACGTTTGAAACTCAGGTATCTGTTTAATGTCTACACTGTCATTCAGCCACGTCTACTTCAGTGTACGTCAGAAGCTGCTCCACCGCCGTCGATCAAACTAAGGATTTATCTAGAGTTTGAAACACTCATGACACCAGAAGGAAGTGAAACAACGACAGTAAACAGCAGTGAGCTCACACAGGTGACTTACGGTAATAGCCCTTTCTTTTTAAAGGCAGGTCACATGACGTGAGGCTTGGAGTTCTACTCGGATGATGAATGGCTTCATGTTAACTCTTTACTATCCAAGGCAAGAAGGAACCTAATGGAGGTGAGACTGTGTTCATGTGATAAATAACATGAATCAATGTGATTCTCCTCAAACTGCACTAAACCTGTCTGACGCATCACTTCAACATGACGAGCAAAGCAACTGTATCCCGTGATTGAGACAGAAATCAGCATAAAAAATGTTTGTAGAGCTCCGCCTCTAAAGAACTCAAGTGTTAAAGTTTCAGTGTCGAAGTCTTCGTCTCAGATTTGATGTTTTACAACCGTGATCGCAACAGATTATGTTTAATATTGAAATAACATTAAAATGTATTGTGAATAATGTTTCAAGGGAAATGTGAAACCAAATGTCAACATTCAGCTTTTTCTAATTTCCATCCATAACTTTAATAAAGTAACAAACATGTAATGACAAACACTGATGAAGGTAGTTTAGTTTAATTTAGTTTCATTTGAGTTTAGTTTAGTTTTAGTTTCATTTAACTTAATTTGAGTTTTAGTTTAGTGTCATTTGACGACATTAACTTTATGTTTCAAACTGTTTAAAATCTCGACCGTAACCTGAGTTGTACGTGAACTGTCGAGTTGTACGTGAACTGTCGAGTTGTTCGTGAACTGTCGAGTTGTACGTGAACGTCACTTTTAGGAGACAGGGTTGAATATTGATGGTTTAGAATTTAACTGTATACAAAAATATGAAACCAAAATGTTTTACATCAAACTGACTTTTAAAAACCGTCAGTTTGAAATCTAAAGATTTGACACAAAGCAACAGAACTTTGTATTTTGTCACATGTCTTGTGTCAACGCAGTACTACTACTACTACTACTACTACTACTACTAACTTGTAGTACAGAGACAGTGTGTGTATCCACTAAAGTCTCTCTGGATCAACGTCACGTGATTCTGTGCGTGTTCTTCGTCTCTTCTCTACCAAACGTTTGCTCAATATTAAAGGAACGTGTTCAGTATCGTTTCTCTGCCTGTGCACATTAATAGTTATAAGAATATGAATCAACATGTAGAAACACACAGTACACATGTAGTACACAGAGTTTTTCTACACACATTTCTTTGTGTATACACTCGTATACGCGTTTAAAGATACAAGTATGGTGAGGACTTACAAACAGATATGCAGATATCTTTGTTTCTAATCTTTCTTTTTACATAAAACAAACGAGACGGTAAAACTCTTCGATGGAATATTGTCTTTTTTTAAAGTAATTATTGCGATTTAAATAATATGGCTTTGTCTAAGGAAACAAAGGAACATGTTTCTATTCATGATTCATTTCATCTTATTAATCCTTAAAGGTACAAACTGGTGGAAGCCTCGTGCTCTGCTGTATGTGTTTAGGACGACGTGTTGTTAGGTCAGAGGTCAGCTGAGCTCCTCAGTGACGTCATCTTCTACTTTGAGGGGAAAAAGATCATTTTTAGTTTGTGCTCTTTGGGATTCATGCACACGTGTTCCTCCTGCAGACCTCAATACAACAAAAAACTAAAACTCGTCTACGTGACGAGAAACGTGAAGATGTCACCGGTATTTCTTTGGTCTCCATGGTGATGAGCGTCCATCGAGGGAAAACTGAAGCCTTAAGAAGTCGAGAGAAAAGTCTGACATTTGCATTCATGTGGAGAAGAAAATGAGAATAAATAGTTTAAGTTAAGAGACACTTAGTTAAACCCTCTTCTAACCAATCAGAGAGGGTGTGACAGGAAGTACCGCCTCCTCCAGCGGTCCATGCTTTGATTGTCTCTACAGGGACGCTGACTCATCATCAGTTACCTGATTCCTGGACAAAGAAACAGTGATTTACTTTTAAAAATGGGATTCAAAAGACTCTTTGTTTGCTCAAATGGATGAAATCTTGATCTAATAAAAAATATTTGAGAGAATATCCAAAGTCCTCGACACGTCTAAAGAGCTCGAGTAAATCTAGAATGAAACCTAAAGTTCCTGTGAAGCTCGAGGCCCTGAAGGTAACACGGAGGTCTGTTTTTAAATCGTTCTAAATGTGACAACGAGCCAAGTTTACATCAGAGACATGGTGTGGTAAAAGTGTCCCATGGTGTGTCTTCATGCAGATGAACAACCCAATGTCCCTCATTGACATGTCCTCTGGCAGGAGGACGATGTATGGAGGCACATGTCCCAGAACTCAAAACGCTGATTCATTTAAACTTCAATATAAAGACCAGAAGGTTCATAAAAAGTAGAAAACACACAACATGCTCCATCTGCAGGATTGCTGCTCGCCATTGGTCCCCTTTGCCTGGCAACAGGTGATGGCCAAACCAAGCAGAACGTCTGACCTCACTAGGTGTGAAAAAAGGAAAAAAGGACAGAAGACGTATTATTAAACTGTAAGAAATGTCCTAAGAGTCAAATAAAAAGAAGAGAGACGCAGTCGTCGAGTAGAAAAGAAGAACGTAAAGGTTTTGTAGAAAGGCAGTGAGAAGCCCCCCCCCTCCAATCTACTCTGAAACTCCGCCTCCTTACAAACACCCTAACCCGGACCCCCTTCGTCTCTGTCACGGTTTACTTCTTGAACATGTCCTGTAGAGGTCCGGGCAGAAACTTGAGGACGGTGTCCAGGATGCTCTCCTCGTCCTCGTCGTCTCCGCAGCCTCGAGGAATCGCCTTCTTAGGACGCGTCAGAGAGCCCTCACAGGCCTGCTCCATGGCCGCCTTCTCCTCCGCCTCCTTCTCCTCCTTCTTCTTCAGCCCGTACTGCAGGGACAGGAGGACAGAGGGACAATGAGGAGGGGGACATGAAGGGGACAATGAGGAGAGGTGACATGAGGGGGACAATGACAGGGGACATGAAGGGGACAATGAGGAGAAGTGACATGAGGGGGACAATGAGGAGAAGTGACATGAAGGGGACAATGAGGAGAAGTGACATGAGGGAGACAATGAGGAGAGGTGACATGAAGGGGACATGAAGGGGACAATGAGGAGAAGTGACATGAGGGGGACAATGAGGAGAGGTGACATGAAGGGGACATGAAGGGGACAATGAGGAGAAGTGACATGAGGGGGACAATGAGGAGAAGTGACATGAAGGGGACAATGAGGAGAGGTGACATGAAGGGGACAATGAGGAGAAGTGACATGAGGGGGACAATGAGGAGAGGTGACATGAGGGGGACAATGAGAGGGGACATGAAGGGGACAATGAGGAGAGGTGACATGAAGGGGACAATGAGGAGAGGTGACATGAGCGGGACAATGAGGAGAAGTGACATGAAGGGGACAATGAGGAGAGGGGACATAAGGGGGACAAGAGGAGATGAAGAAGAGGAGACAGAGAGGGGAGGGGACAATGAGGGGGACAATGTGGAGAGGGGACATGAAGAGGAAACAAAGAAGAGACGAAGAGGAAACGAAGAGGAGAAGATGAGGAGACGAACAGGAAACGGAAGAAGAGATGAAGAGGAGATGAAGACGAGATGAGGAGACGAAGACAAGACAAAGAGGAGCGACAAAGAGAAGACAAAGTGGAGACGTTAGTCAAACCTTGTCCCTGATGGTCTGCCGTACTTTCTCCCTCTCGGCCTCCATGCGGGCGTGCTTGCTCTTCCTCTCCTCCTCCTGCTGCCTCAGCGCCTCCTGCCGCTCCTCCTCCTTCTTGGATGCATCGGGGTCCTTCTCCTCCTCCCCCCCCAGCATCTTGCCCATGTCTTTGGTGGCTCCTGGTCAATAACAACAACAATATAAATCAATAACTGATATTTAGATAAACACCTGATCAGTACGGTCCACCGGTAGACCTCGCGGTCCAACGGTGGACCTTGTCAACGGTAGACCTCGCGGTCCAACAGTGGACCTTCTTGTCCAACGGTGGACCTCGCGGTCCAACGGTAGAGCCTGTGTGTCAGCAGCTCTCAGGATTATGTGGCGATGGGGTTCCCTGAAGACCTTGAAGGCGTCTTGAGAAGAGGAGCCAGCCGGAGGACCTTCAGAGACCCACTGAGGTCCATCTGTCAACACTTCCTGTCCCTCCTCATCCAGGTCTCTCCTTCACCTGTGACACCTGAAGTATATGTCACAGATAAACATGATGGATTTCTATTTGGAGGGAAATCTGCTGGATCACTTCCTGTCATGTGACAGGAAGAGGCCGCTGTTCCTCCATGGATGAAAGACAACGATGATGATGATGGTGGTGGTGGATACTTCAAAATAAAAGTCAACACGCTTAGTGATGAAATAACGAAAATTCAGTCCAATTATATCGTATTTTAGTTTCAATATTTATTATACTATATATGTATTATATTGTATATTTAAATACGATATATGTATTATACTTGTGTTGTTTTGTTTTGTCCACTTTGTTGTTGTAATCCTATCTCCTATATAATCTTATCTCATCTTAATTACTCAATTAATTAATTCACAGAAAAGTAACGAGCAGAAATTTAAATTCTGTTATTAAGAAAAAAATTATAATAATTCTGGATGCTGCTTTTAAAATGAGACAATTTTAATTATAAAGATTTTTTCTGATATTTTATAGAATAGATAATAATATTAATAATAATATTTACAACTAAAATAATCCAAAAAATATTAATAAATTATAATAAATTATAGCAAGTTTGAAAAAGTTAAAATTTACTTTTTTTCCGTAGATTTCTTTCTTCAGTGACTAACGGCCGACCTCCTACACGCTGTTATCGCTGACAGACGCAGTTTTCTAGACGTGACAGTGACTCTTCCGTCTGATCGATAGTAAACTCAGGAACACCTGAACGTCTGTGAGTTATGGATCCTCCAGCAGAGACAAACCCTCATCTACACTAAACATTAAGGACCCTCACATATTCATGGTGGTTGATGCTTTAATATAATAAAAACCTGACGTTCTGCCTCTTTAACTCGAAGAGGAGACAAAGAAGAGACGACGAGGAGACGAAGAGGAGACAAAGAAGAGACGACGAGGAGACGAAGAGGAGACAAAGTAGCCTCTTAACCCTCCTGTTTTGTTCGTTTCTTAGGTACAGCCATTATGTTCCCGGGTCAATGTGACCCGGTGCATGTTTAATCATCCAAAAGTTGTCAGAAACCAAAAATTCCTAATAAATATAGTTTGTACCTCATCACCAACACCATTACTAACAATTCAATCAGTATTTATTGGAATGGAGTTATTCACCCCTTCATAGATCAGAGTTCAATTCGGATAACTCACTCGTTTTCATGAAAAATACATGTTCAAACTATTTTTTAGGTACATTGGAAAAACCTAGATATAAATTGCATTAGTCTACCATAACATGTATTTCTTTCTAAATTTTTTTTACATTTTGAAACTTTCTTTTTTTCATGGGGTGATGTAGATAAATAGAGATGAGACACCTCTGCTCACTCAAAATCAAGCCAAATGAGTCATCAGGATTTGTATTGAAAGTAAACTTTACTTATGTTTATTTATAGTGTTAAGAAACAGACATTTACAAAAAATAACAAGATATGAACACAATGAACGAGGTGAGTGTGTGTGTATGCTGTCCTACAGTAAGCTGCTGTGTTGTGTGTATCTGCAGAGTGTAATGTTGGTAGGACTCCCAAGCAACCCTTTCGTATGTTTCTCCCCTCCCCTGCTAAGTGTGGGCGGGAAAATAAAAGGTTCCCGCCAAAATAGTATCTGTTTTTCTCGCACAGGTGCGGTAGTGAGAAAGAGACTGTGTGCATGTGAGATTGGGATGAAATATTGTGTGTGTGTGTGTGTGTGTGTGTGTGTGTGTGTGTGTGTGTGTGTGAGAAATGGGGTGAAACATGGTGGGAGGTAGAAATACTTTGTCTCACATTTTCAAAGAAAGAAATGGTCTAAACTTGACCCTTCTGACCCCTTATAGCCTCCACTTTCACTGCCGGGTCAAATTGACCCGAACATCATCTCTGTAATATAAACCTGCAGGGGGGGTTGCAAATACATGATAATTATTTTTATTTTTTTTCACGTTGATTACACTAATTAAGGCAAGCAGAAGACAAAAAAGTACTTTCAAATATTTTTTCTAGATTTTCAAACATTGAAACGGGTCAATTTGACCCCAACATAACAGGAGGGGCCTCTTAAATCCTAACAAGACACATGCAACATTAATGAAGTGAAACTGATGTGAACAAAGTGAATTTATACACTAAATATAACATTTAAGATGTTGTTTGAAGCATGTTTGCTTCATTAAATGATATTAATCTGGTATTCGGTCATGAAGGACGTGTTGATCCTAACATTAGAGTCCACTCTGCTCCCCGGTCGACCTCGTTGTCCTGATCAATGAAACTCTGATGAATCACATTTGTAATTAAGAAAAGCCAGTAAATAGAATCTGAGGCAGCTGAGATCTATAGAGTGTGTGTGTGTGTGTGTGTGTCTAAATTAGATCAAAGGTCTGAGTGCAGCTAAATCAGATAAACAGGAAGTGTGTGTGTGTGTTTGTTATTGTTGTGTTCCTGTTTTTTCCCTTTGGTCCAGTTTTATTTACAACATGTTAAACCTGACCGTCAAAATCTACTAGTTTAAATTATATCACAATATCGATATAAAACCATAAAATCAATGTGTTTGGTTCATTTCCACTGACGAGAAACACTGCAGGCTGGTGATTAGATTAGTGACCCCCCCCGGACCAGAGACCACAACAGAAACCTCATCAGGGTGTGTTTGTATCCATGGAGGACCAGATGGTCCAGATGTAATAAATACAGTCTCCTGGAGGAAAGGTCACAACACTAGACAGCAACTCTACGGGAGGTAAACTACAACACTTCAGTCTGGACACGAGGGTGGGGGGGGGGGAGGGGTACTGAGTAGTGTACATAGTGTACTGAGTAGTGTACATAGTGTGCAGTGTACTGACTAGTGTACATAGTGTACTGACTAGTGTGCAGTGTACTGACCAGTGTACATAGTGTACAGTGTACTGACTAGTGTACATAGTGTACTGACTCGTATGCAGTGTACTGACTAGTGTAAATAGTGTGCAGTGTACTGACTAGTGTACAGTGTACTGACTAGTGTACATAGTGTACTGACTAGTATGCAGTGTACTGACTAGTGTACATAGTGTACAGTGTATTGACTAGTGTACATAGTGTGCAGTGTACTGACTAGTGTATAGTCTACAGTGTACTGACTAGTGTACATAGTGTACTGACTAGTGTGCAGTGTACTGACTAGTGTACATAGTGTGCAGTATACTGACTAGTGTACATAGTGTACTAACTAGTGTACAGTGTACTGACTAGTGTACATAGCGTGTAGTTTTGCAATCTTCCTTCTCTTTGTTTATCTGAATAGATGGGATTCAAAATGGCGGTTGCTATTGATGGTTGTCACTGCAGAGTGAATGTTTTGTTTTTATCTTGATAGGTGAACAAAAGAGCAGCTCCCCCTAGTGGCTCAATATTTAACTCTTTAACTTTAAATAAAAGCTTTCTGAACATGCAAAATCTAGATTAAAAAAGAGACCAATCTTAAACGGTTCAGAGGATGATAAGACCCGATCCAGAACCTGAAGGCAAACTAATCCAAATAGAGAAGGAATAGAACGGCCCAGAAGGAATTAGTCTGAATATAATGTACACGATATAATGTTATAATATGAATGTTTTGTTATTTCTCTCTACAAGACGACAAGTAAACAACTTTTAAAACGCTTGTTTTCTGAATGGAGTCTGGTTTCATCAGTGCTATGCTAAGCTAACATTGTAGCAGCTCTATCGACACTCAACACATCATCATCTAGCCGTAAATAAGTCTTTGAACCATCTCAAGAGAAATGAGTTCCTCATGATGACACGTTCAGGAGCGTCGGGACATCGGAGTACTCACCACCCAAAGCTTGCTTCATCACAAAGTCCATGCTGGCTGCTGATTGGTGCAGAAGTTCTTCTCAAAAACCAAAGAGGACTGAGCAGGTAGCCTCAGTCTCCCCTCTCTCCTGTCTTCAGCGAGTCTCTTCTGGACCTGAGAGAGACCACATGAGACCACATGAGACCAGAATAAACAAAGGGAACCTCAGCTTTACCCACATCAACAGAGACACTAAACACGAGGAGAGGTGATGTGATCCTCTTCACACTCTCGTCCCCCAAAGACACAGATCACATTCTGGAAACATCTGATCAATAAATGATGTCACAACAACACCGCCAGAGGATCAGAGATCTTCTATTGCTAACAGGTCATTAATATGTTAATGAAACAATGAAACAATGAGGTTCATTTCTGTTTAAACTACATCCAACACACACACACACACACTCAACCCTCCAACAAAAATAGTAACTTAAAAGAAACAATAGAAAACAATCATCATGATTTTATTCAACCAGCTCTCCTTCTTGAGTGTGTTTCTCAAACTCAAGAACACACTAATGTAATAAAGGACGGATGCTACTGTCAGACAAGAACATCTGGAGGAAGAGGACACACACACACACACACACACACACACACACTTTTCTATGTATGTTATATTTGACTATAAACCAGTGGCGGGCTGTGTACTCTATACCTGGGCCTTCAGAGCTGTCCTACTACGGTTGAACCACCTCCTAATAACCTCATGATGAGCCACAGCTACGGTTATTTGTTTCTATGGTGTAACATCACGTATTCATATTAAACCGTTCGGTGCGAGGCGTACAAACCGAACAATACGTTTGAATAATACTAGTGCATTTGGAAAATGCAGAAGCTTAAATTGTGTGAAATATAATGTTTTCTGTGCTCATGTAGGAGACAACGGGCTGTGACCTCTGTAGGAAATTTAGGTTTAGAAGTGTGCTTTAATATTTATAATTACAAGTGTATTTTAGATTTATGATTAGAAGTGTCTTTTAGGAATTATAGTTAGAAGTGTTTCTTCGTAGAATGTGTAGCACCTTTAGAGGTGGATACTAAAATGTTAGCAAGTACTTGGGACGTACCAATTATGCTTGTAAAACTTGTGAAGTTTTTGCCAAAAGTTGCAAATCCTTATCTTTATATAGTATGTATACCAGAGAAGTGTTAAGCCATAAAAGACAGTCATTGAATGTATTAAACTGTGAAGAATAAGTCAAGGGTCAGACAGGGATTTTCAGACAGGCAATTACAGGGGCACGCAGATGGAGCAACACCCGTGCCAGGGTCCTCCAGCGGACTGATGCGAGAAGGAGGAGTCTGCTGGATTTAGCCAATAGAAACTAAGACGGACATTTTGAGAACATTTACGAACTATATAAGAAAATTCAGAAAGAGGGTTCTGCCTCTTTCCTCACGTTTGATCGTGTGGGTATGTCTGCTTTTCCGCGCGGATCATATTTCTATGTCGATGCTATAAATATATATCTATAGATACTGTAAATAGGGTACTTCACTTTGCAATTGTTTTAGCTTCTGTAGTATTAAATGCTTTTGATTATAATTGAAACCGGCTGACTTTGTAGCAGAGGCCGGACCATGTGCGATTTCCCCACAGTTGAGAGAGGTTCCTGAATCTAACACCTCTGAACCCGGAACAATAACAAACCAAAATAAAGACAGCTGAGGCTAAGCTAAACTAGCGTAGCAGGAAAACAGCAGCACACAAGCTACGAACTCTCCCCACAGTGTTTAGCTGTTCCTACTGATTCAAACAGGACGAAAGCAATCACCACACAATTCACATTCCTCCAGGACATCATTCCTGCTTTGTTAAAGAAAACAAAACCCCAAACACATTCAAGTGTCCGGACAATAACTCCGCGCATGACGGGTTGCTTCTTAATTAATGGACAATGCATATAGTCCAAATCTCTATAATTAACACAATGACAAGAACAAACTCACAAGAACCAGTCACATATATTCATATGACAACAAAGCAACAAATCAATCCAGCAGAGCTGCAGCAACACGCATACTGCTGCACACTGGAGGGCCATTCAGATATTAGATGTAAAAACAAACGCTGTTGATTTAAAGACAAACTCCATCCTCCTTTCTTTGTTGACTAAGAGTTTAATCCGGTTAAATCCCAACTCACAAATCTGTTTCTCCTCCTTCAGCCATTGAGTGTTAAAAAAACAAAGCTAGGTAAAATAATAATAATCTACACTAAGCACAATGCAAAACATGTCATAATTTCTTCCATATCTTTCAATGTGAACTCTTACTACTCCGACTAAGCTCTGCTGGCTACTTTAAGTTTTGTTTCACGATAGTCACGTGCTCGCCCACTGACCAATCACAGCGCACGCTGCACCTCACTGCAGAGCTGCACCTGAAAACTGAGCTGCACGTAATGCTGACGTACTTGTAGACCAGCTAGCAGCTCTGACACGTCAAAGAATACGCCCAACATGTCAAACTAAAGATCTGATTGGTTGAAGACTATGACAATCAACAATATCGTCCCCATTCACTTAAAGTGCACATGGATTCACTTGTGAGTCTGCAGGCCTCTGCCTCTGTTCTTACCTAGAGACACAGAGGTGAGATCTGATTGGATAAAAGCTCTACTGAAAACAAGCTGCACTGGAAGCAGAGCAACTGAGGAAGACAGTAGCTGTGCAATGAGAAAATAAGATAATGGGAAAAATATTTGTATAAATTACATTAAACATGTAGTGTATTTAAGAACAATTATTAAATTATAAAATAGCTATAACTTTGTGATTCTGTTTAGGCCAGCAGAGAAGGCCTTGCAGGCCCTGACGGCCCACCTCTGATATAAACTATTTATGAGTTCTGAAGCAGAGACCTCTAGCAGCCAATCAGCTGCTGTGTTGTGAAGCTACTTCCTGGTCTGGTCGATGGAGCTCTTCTTCTTCAGATGGAGGAGAACAGACTGACTTCAGAGAGTTGAAATCCTTTTTAGGACGATGGCAAAAAAACTAATATTCTGGACCCTGTAGACCAGCTGCTATAATCAATCAACAATGTATCTGTAACTGTTCATATGCATCATTAATGATCAATAACTAGTATCAGCAGAAAAAAACAACAACAAAAACCGTGACCAGGAATGTCAAAGATGTATTTGCTCCATCTATTCTAGTACATGTAGTATAAATTACTTAAATACAGTCGTAGTACATGTAGTATAAAGTACTTAAATACAGTCTTAGTAAACTAGTTATTTCATGGAGAGATTTGTTATCTGGGACAGAACAGAATCTGTTGTCACTGAACATCACTAATGCATGGAAACCATCTCACATCCTCCTTATAGACCTCACCCCCTCCTCCCTCCTCCATCCTTATAGACGGAGCTGCAGACCTCACCCCCTCCTCCCTCAGGCGGCAGAGGATGGAGGATGGAGGATGGAGAGGGGGGAGGAAACAGGCTACATATCACCAACGAGGCGTTTGTCCATTTGTCTTGTGGTTGGGTGGCTGAAGGAGGAGAAAGAGCAAGAGAGAAGGAAAGGAGGCGAGGGGAGGGGGGATGTAAAGAGAGAAACGAGGACAGAGGAGAGCGGAAAAAGGGGGAGGTAGGAAACAACGATAGAGAGAGAAGAGGAAAAAATATCTAGAGCTAAATGTAAAGAGATAGAAGGAGGGATTATATAGGAGAGGAAGAGAACAAATAGAAAGTGGTGGAGGAAACAAGAAGGAGTTGATGTGGAAGAATGTGAAGCAACAGAACAGAGAGAAGAGGTGAGGAGATGAGAGGAAGTGACAAGAGTGTGAGAGAAGCAGAGGAAGGAAGGGATGGACTGAGGACACAAATGAGATAAGGACAGAACAGAGTCTGTTGTTACTGACAACAGATTGAGTGAAAGATTGAGTGAAAGAAAGGAGAGAAGTAAAGGAAGTGAAATGGGTCATCAGGAAGAAGAAGTGAGCTTCCTTCTCTCTTCTTCTGTCAAAGACTCAAATCTACTTCAGGCTGAAACGATCAACATGAACTTTGAGTCTAATATGAAACGAGAAGCTTTATTTTTTTAGCCACCGGAGCACGACTTCACAAGTTTCAAACATTTGTGGAGTGAGAGGAGTTATTTTGTTCGTTCGGGGTCCGTAGTCCAGTTCATTTAGTTCAAAGACATGAAAACTCTTGTCTGTACAAAACTGAAGACTAACTGAAGACGGACTAAAGACTCACCCCTCGGACCAAAGACTCACTCCTCGGACCAACGACTCACCCCTCGGACCGAAGACTCACCCCTCGGACCGAAGACTCACCCCTCGGACCGAAGACTCACTCCTCGGACCGAAGACTCACTCCTCGGACCGAAGACTCACCCCTCGGTCCAAAGACTGACAAATGAGCATCACATTGCCCTCAAAAGCCTTTTAAGATGTTTATATATGTCAATATGTAAATTATTTCAATGTGGACTCCTAAATGAAAGATCAGTTTTTGTTGCACCAATCCACCTCCATCCACACCCACTTTTTGTGGGTATTTGCATTCTTTATACTTCTCGATAACGAGGATTACATAGGATTAGATTTTGTAGGATGTAGACGAATTACAGTGCATTCATCTCCGTTGGGACGGCTATGAACACTGCATGAGAACAGCCCGAACCTTCACATGTGATCATCAGGGATTCTGAGAAAACAACAGAGTCTAAAATCACACAACCAGCAGAACAACTAAATCCAGAACAAGTAAAAGCACTGCAGTGAGAATAAACACAGAACTCTGTGGAAGTTAAACCACTTGAGGACACAAAACATCTACAACATCTTCTACCAGTTTCCACCAGTGAGAATCTTGTATTTTTAACATATTAAGAGTCTCAGTTTTCTGTTGAACATAATGTTTGTACGACGTACAGCTCATTGGATAACCACGTCCATCGACTGGAGGAGAAGCAGGACGAGACACTGAATTAGTGATCACAGGCTGTCCAGCTTGTTCGTAGTGGACATAAAGTCCTCAGAGAAACTGGTGCTGCATAATGCAGAGCTGGGTGGTTTGTCTCCAGCCTGAGTGGGTTAGATGTGGGTTAGAGGGACTTTAGTCATGTCTAGGTTCTGCAGCAGCATCAAGGTCACAACACGTCAGACTGAGAAACCTAACATATCAAGTATCAGAATGATGATTTGAGGAACTACTTAACATTGCTCGTGTATTCCGTCGCTGTGGGTAGCGTGGCTTAGCATTGCGGAGTGATACAGTGACTTAATGCATCAACAACATGGCTGCTGACAGAGTTCTAATATAGAGTTACAGAGACACAATAATGTGACGGAAAAACGGCTATTTAGAATTTAAAATGATAAGTTATTATAGTTGCTGTGACGAGGCCTGTTATGATGAATACTTTTATTGGTCATGTTTATATTTGATACAATGAACAGATAAAAAATTATTGAAATGAAGTCAATATATATCGTACGATAAGTTGATAACGTAAATATTTGTGATTCATCCTGTGGGGACCATGAATTTCTGAAGCAAAGTGTTTATCCTTAAATGCACAGAAAAGATGATCAATAAATCACAAAATTCCACAGCGGTCAGTAGTGTTAGTGTGGTGGAGACTGTTCAGACTAACAGTGAATATAAACGCTGTGTTTCTCCTCTCACAGAGAGCTCCGTCAGGGTGAAGAGGGCTGTGGTAAGAGGCCAGCGGCATGCTGGGAAGGTGGGCGGTGGTGCTGTGTGGGCGGGAGCTCTGCTACGCCTGCCAACCGCTCAGAGACTGAATGTAGCTGAGAGACGGAGAGAGAAATGAAAATACTGAGAACAGAACTACTCAGAGAGCAGAGAAACAAACACGGTTATGATGCTTCGCTGTGTATTCATGGTCTGTAGTTACTGATGATGATCATCTTCTCTGTATTATATCTGATGGATCGGCCCACTGTTCAATAAACACACATTCACGGTCCCCAGAAGATGAATCCTACTGACGTTTAAGTGAAATACATCTAGAATGTTTCACCATAACAACAGAAGGTACTGCGTCTCCTTCCCTGCGTCTCCTTCCCTGCGTCTCCTTCCCTGCATCTCCTTCCCTGCATCTCCTCCTCATTGTCTCCTTCCCTGCGTCTCCTCAACATTGTCTCCTCCAAATCGTCTCCTTCCCTGCGTCTCCTCCAAATTGTCTGCTTCCCTGCGTCTCCTTCCCTGCATCTCTTTCCCTGCGTCTCCTCCAAATTGTCTGCTTCCCTGCGTCTCCTTCCCTGCATCTCTTTCCCTGCGTCTCCTCCAAATCGTCTCCTTCCCTGCGTCTCCTTCCCTGCGTCTCTTTCCCTACGTCTCCTCCAAATCGTCTCCTTCCCTGCGTCTCCTTCCCTGCGTCGCCTCCAAATTGTCTCCTTCCCTGCGTCTCCTTCCCTGGGTCTCCTTCCCTGCGTCTCCTCCACATGGTCTCCTTCCCTACGTCTCCTTCCCTGCATCTCCTCTTCAGGACTATCGTGCTGATCCACGGCAACAGGTGCCAAATGGTTGTTACTGCGGCAACAGTGGCACTCTTTACCTGCTATACTATAAAGAAGCCGGCGATACGCAGGATGACTTCACTGCTGCAGTACTACTAATACTACTAATACTACTACTAATACTACTGATACTACTACTACTACTACTACTACTACTACCACTACCACTACTACCACTACTAATACTACTACTACTACTACTACTACCACTACTAATACTACTACTAATACTACTAATATTACCAATACTTCATGTACTGCTGGAGCTGAACTTGTACTCTGTTTATATTGTATAAATATTTATCAGGTGTTTAGCTCACAACAGTCATATTTAAAGACAGTTGAGCACATACTGTCATATTTTCATCAGATGTAAACATTCTTGTGTTAATGAATCATTCAGACCTGAGTTCTACAGAAAGGTGAGCAGGTTAGTAAGCCCGTCTGTCATTGGCTGAAACAGATCTTAATGAACAACAGGGTGAATAGATGGAAATATTATGAATTCAAAACACTGAACTCATAACTTCCATTAAACACTACTGCACTATTATAACTAATATGTATTTAAAAGCTGTCACAGTTAAAGAGAGTCATTAGTACTGTTGTGTTTAAATGTAGCAGGAAGTGACGAGGTCAGAGTCATCCATCCCATAATACTGACCTTCAGCGAGCAAAAAAGTCAATTAAACGTCTGAGTGGTCATTAAAAAGCAATAAATGTCAAAGTGTTTTATAATGAGACTTCTAATGGGACACAGAAGAGAACAGGTGAAAGAGACATAATGAACCATCAGGTCTGATCAGATGAATGACATCAGCTCCCAGAGAACAGCCAATCAGGAGAGAGGGCGTGGCTGAGAGGGCGGGGTTTATCATTTAATGACTCAGGTTGTTCTTATCCAGTGTTCTCATAGATATCCTAGATAATAAATTCACATGAAATCATAAAGCAGGAAGTATTAACACCGCAAAAAGAAACACAGGACAGGGGGGGTATAGTTGTCTCAACCTAACTAAGTAGTTTTGTTGTCTCAACCTAACCAAGTAGTTTAGTTGTCTAAACCTAACTGAGTAGTTTAGTTGTCTAAACCTAACTGAGTAGTTTAGTTGTCTCAAACTAACTAAGTAGTTTTGTTGTCTAAACCTAACTGAGTAGTTTAGTTGTCTCAAACTAAGTAGTTTTGTTGTCTAAACCTAACTGAGTAGTTTAGTTGTCTCAAACTAACTAAGTAGTTTAGTTGTCTCAAACTAACTAAGTAGTTTTGTTGTGTCCTGTGAATTTTGAAGACTGTATTTCATGCAACGAGCAGAAAGACACGTGTTGCTGGACTTTTGTGGGAAAAAAACGCACGAAAACTTTCCATAAGATATCGTGCAAACTGTTGTATGAGGAGACATTAAGAAGGTCGAGTGGCGCCTTATGATTGTAAACAGAGAAATAATATCCAAAAACTAGATGCAAAAGGTCTCCTCGTCTACTTTCTATTAGCATCTCAGGTTTCCTCTCAACGTTCTCTGTACAGACAGTGAACATGTTTAGAGTCAGAGATGCTATACAGAGAAAAGATGCAGACTGATGATGGAACTCATTGTTCTCAGTGACCCTGAAGTCCAAACACTAGTAACGCAAAGAGCAGGTTTATATGACAGCGATGCTACCAGCAGCAGGACGTCTCAGTTACACCGCTAACGTAACTCCTGCTCTACGACTCTAAAGGCTGACCCTCTGTGAGCAACAAGTTAGAGTCTCTCAGCTTCACAAACAGGAAGTGTTTGTGTGTGCACAGAAACACCAACAGACACAAAGACTATCACTGAAAATATCGCCAAAAATAAAGCGTTTACTTTAACCAGATTGTGTAAAAACATTAAGTTGTGAGCTCCTCAGTGAAACTATGAAGTCATGATTGATTCATCTGACACCAACAGTCATGTGACAACAAATCAGAGAAACTTTGACTGAACTCCAGGCTTAAGCTGAGCATTTACCGCCACATGTGTAGTGATGTAATCATTGTGGGCGTGGCCTCATTCACGACAACATCGTCAGACGAGTGGACAGTTTTTAGAAATGACGCAGCAGAATGAGATATATTGTCTTTTCTTTAAATTCCATTCTTTCTTTTTAAAACCTGGTGCCTACGTTACCCACAATGCAACTCAACCTACGGCATCTACGTTTTGTAGATGTCACACGTCGGACACGTGAGTCCAACTGTCAACAGGAAGAAGAAATGTTCATCATCATTTTAAAGAGATTTTCGTTTAAATGTAGTTCAGTCTCTCTGTGATTGGCTGATTGTATCTCTCACACACACACACACGCACGCATACACACATGCATACACACACGTATGCACGCATACATACACACACACACACACATGCACATGCATACACACACACACATGCACGCACGCATACATACACACACACACACATGCATACATACATACACACACACACACACAGCTCGAGGTTCTCTCAGAAATAATCAATGAGCTGGCAGCTATAAATAATTCAGACTCCACCGTCCATCACCTCCACAAGCTGCTGCTCCACAGACCTCCTCATTTAGGAGCAGGAACTGAATTACCAGCCTCCTACTCTTCCTTCACCTCTTCCTCCTTATCCTCCTGTTCCTCCTTCTCTTCCTCCTTCTCTCTGTCTCATCATTCGCACATATATAGGCGAGACATGGAGGTGAGAGAGGAGATCTACCTTCACCTGAATGACAACACCGTAGAGAGGAGAAGGAAAGGAAAGCAGAGGAGGAGGAAAGAAGCAGAGGAGAGGGAAAGAGAGGAAAGAGGACAGGGGAGGAGGAGAGGAAAGTAGAGGAGGGAGAAAAGAGAAGAGGAGAGAGGAGATCTGATCCGCAGCACGCGGTCCGTTTCCGCATGTTTCATGAACGCATCCATCAGGTGGAGCCTGAGACCTGCAGCCTGATGACCGTCTGTAGACGCACGTGTATATCTACACGCACGCACACACACACGCGCGCGCGCGCACGCACTCGTGCACCAGCCTCCACACCTCAACCCGCTGCGCAGCGTCTCTCTCTTATTCACATCTTCTCAAACACAAAGACTCGAACATCAGAATCACGACGCGGTTCCTCTCACGAGACGTTTTACTGACCTGAAGCTTCCGACGAGAGAACCGACCAGAGTGCTGCCGAACCTCCGAGTGATGCACCTCCTACATCCTCTCTCCTAGATCCTCCTCTCCCTCCCTCTCTCTGTCTCCCTCTCTCTCCTCTCCCTCCCTCTCTCTGTCTCCCTCCCTCCCTCCCTGTCTCTCTGTCTCCCTCCTCTCCCTCCTTCTCTCTGTCTCCCTCTCTCTCCTCTCCCTCCCTCTCTCTGTCTCTCTCTCCCTCCCTCCCTCCCTCCCTGTCTCTCCGTCTCCCTCTCTCTCCTCTCCCTCCCCCTCTCTCTCCTCTCCCTCCCTCTCTCTCTCTCCTCCCTCCCTCCCTGTCTGTCTCTCTCTCTCTCTCTCTCTATCTGTCTCTCTCTCTGTCTGTTTATCTGTCTCTCTGTCTCTATCTCCCTCTCTCTGTCTCCCTCCCTCCCTCTCTGTCTGTCTCTCTCTCTCTGAGTGGAAGGCGTACGGAGCTGAAGGAGCGGGGTTTTGAGAGCGATAATAGCGATTTTTCGACATTTGTCTTCACTGGGTAATGTTGGGTATGGTAGTGTAGTGTAGTGTGAAGGGTTCACGGGGTTTGTGAGCACATTTAGGGGGTTTTAGGGTCTTTGTTTGTGGGGGTTTGCAGCTGATCAGCGCGAGCTGTCGGCTGCTAAACGCCACCATGGGCCTGACGGATTTGACCAGGAAGCACGGGGTGAAGATCCCGCCGCTGTTCGGGTGTTCAGCGGAGGAATCAGCCTGGCAGTGGGGGAGCTTGTCGGCCACAGCTGCATGAAGTCCGCAGCGCGGATGAACAGCGCTGTGGTCATCTTTTTAGATAGTTTAGAACAGAGGTGGGCCGTCAGGGCCTGCAAAGCCTTCTCTGCTGGCCTAAACAGAATCACAAAGTTATATCTATTTTATAATTTAATAATTTTTCTTAAATATACTACATGTATTATAATTTATATAAATATTTTCCCATTATCTTATGTTCTCATTGCACAGCTACTGTCTTCCTCAGTTGCTCTGCTTCCAGTGCAGCTTGTTTTAAGTAGAGCTTTTATCCAATCAGATCTCACCTCTGTGTCTCTAGGTAAGAACAGAGGCAGAGGCCTGCAGACTCACAAGTGCATCCATGTGCACTTTAAGTGAATGGGGACGATGTTTTTGATTGTCATAGTCTTCAACCAATCAGATCTTTAGTTTGACATGTTGTGCGTATCCTTTGACTATCAGAGCCTGCGCACCGGCCTATAATGATGTCAGCATTACAATCTGTGTGTAGCTTTGCCGCGAGGTACAGAGTGTGCTGTGATTGGTCAGTGGGCGAGCACGTGACTATCGTGAAACGAAACTTAACAGCCAGCAGAGGCTGATGGGTAGTGAATCACATCACGTGATGCAGTTCAGCCAATCAAAATGCATTCTGACTGAGTGAGATGCACCATGACAGAGGAACCTGAGCCGAGGAAAGACATTGCTGAGCAGTCCGTTCAACGCTCAGGTTGTGAAAGTAAAATCCTATGATAATCTCTTTGGGTCGCGGCTTGTCATTAAGGAATGACGGTGGATCCCTCAGCCAGACCAGCTGAGAATATTATATTTTCCTGAATTTAGGCTTTTGCATTTTCTAAATGCTGTAGCATTATTCAAACGACTCGTGAACGGTTTAATACGAAGATGTACATAGTTACAGCCTTAAAAATGAATAGCTGTGGCGCCATCATGTGGTTATAAGGTGGTATTTTAGCTGCAGGACAGCAGTGAAGGCCGAGGTATAAAATGTACGGCCCGCCACTGGTTCAGAAGTTGCAGAAGTGGTGTTGGAGAACGGGGTCGAGGTGGGTGAACACTTCCTGCCCGTTTACCCTCTCAGCTCACCGGCAGTAAAAGTTACTGTGTCTAATGTTCCTCCTTAGAAACGATGCCATAATCAGAGAGCTGTCCAAACATGGGAAAGTAGTGTCTCCGGTTAGGAGAGTGTCTTCTGGTTTTAAATCTCCGCTGTTAAAGCAAGTGGTGTCTCACAGGTGACATGTCCTCATGATCCCCAACAACAGGAGCAGGGAGGTAAACCTCGTGTTCAAAATCACTGTAGAGGACTTTGATTATGTAGTTTTTGCAAAGACTGATGATTTTAAATGTTTCAGCTGTGGTAAAGAAGGACATCAGAGCAGAGCTTGTCCTGGGGAAACAGTTCTCATGAAGACCAGAACCAGAAAGGTACTGAGGAAGGCAGAGGGGACAAGCAGGACGGACAGGAGGGAACAAGTGGAGCACAGGAGGCGAGGGTGGAGGAGACGGGTGGGGCCCAGGAGGTGAGGGAGGAGGGGACAAGTGGGTCCCAGGAGGTGAGGGAAGAGGAGACAAGTGATGTCCAGAAGGTGAGGGAGAGAACTGGAGGACAGGTGGAGTCAGGTAGGGAGGTAGACATGGAGGAGGAAGACGAGGAGCAACTCAAAGCCCCTCAGCTGAAGAGGAAACAGAGAGGAAATAGTGGAAACTCACAGGCCAAAAAAGTGGCAACGACAAGAAGTATAGGAGCAGCTGAGTGTGAGTCCAGTCTGGAGAAGGACTCTGAGTCCAGTCAGGAGGAGGACTCTGCTGCTGACAGTGAGCTCTCTGAGTGCAGGGCTGGCAGCTGTAAGAGCTCTGAAGGCTACAGTGTGGAGGAGAAACAGGATTATCTGATGAAGAGTAAAAATGTAAGAGGAGCTAAAGTGGAGGACTACATCTCTGACAAAGAGAAGCTCTTAAACTCTGTCAGAGCACACATGAGGAGTAAAGACAGAGGAGGTCTCACAGAGCAAGAAGGCTTCAGACTGAAAAAAATAGTTCAGATATTAAAGAAAGAGCTGAACAAAGATGGAGTTAATGGAGAATAAGAGACCGGAGCCCACATGCTCACACTGGCTGCTTCAAGAACCGCTGGTGAACGGAGCCAGGGTGGACATCCAGGGTGGCACGACTCCAGGTCTGAGCAGCATGCTGTGCTCCTCTGGGACCACCACCCTGAGGACACTGGTGGAGGTAGATGTTCCTGGACTGAGAGACGCACCTGCAGTGGATTCTCTACTCGGGCTGAATTCCATCTGGCAGAGCAGGAGGATCCTGAGCAGGTTGGAGGAGAGACTGATGGAGGACGAGGTCGAGATGCTGAAGGAGGACGACAGAGGAGAGGAAGCTCCTGATTCTACAGATCTATTTCCAGATCAAGGATTTATTCCAGAGCTGAATGGGGTCTCAGGACCATCATTCAGTGAAACAGTCTAAAGAGTCTGAACATGAACAAAAACATGAACAACATGGACTAATATTCAATGCTCCTTGAAAATATGATGAAAATAATCTGTTTTGATTGTTTTTTTGTTTTGTTGATTTGGGTCGAATTTATTGCCTTGGCAATGTTTTTTTTCATGTTTTAAGAAAATAAAGATTTCTAAAAAATCTCTCTCTCTCTCGTTCTGCTCTACATGCATCTGTTGCTGTGTTTCTGTGTAAAGTGTATCTGCAGAACTGTGCGTGTAGAGACTCTGTTGGGTGGTTGTCCAGCGGGTAGAACTGATGACTGAGTGGACTCATACTTCACTACCATACAGCGCAGTGGGCTGGATCACACTGTTAAAGGTTTTAAGACAGATTTGAATTGGGATTATAAAATTATGAAATGTTCTCTTAATTGCATTTCGAGCTCTTGAAGCTTTTCTTTTGGTGCATTCACTGCCATGTTGAAACTCCCTGATGGTTATACCAAGGTATATAACTCACACTATGTTCAATCATGTTAGCATTTATGATAAACTGGTCTTTGTTCTCCTCACATGTGGGGCGTTTCTGTAAAATCCTGACATTATTTTCCTTCATGTTTGCTGCCAGGGCCCAGCTGTGACTGAACTGTTCTACTCTGTCGTCCTGGTTCAGTAGGAGACAGTAGAACCAGGTCACACACTTCACCTCTCTCTCTAGGAGGGAGAGCCCAGGAGCAGCACATTGATCCAACACTTCATTGATAGACACATTGAATAAAGTCAACCCTGACCAACACCTCTGTTCTGGGTGAAGAATTGTTTGTTTATCTCCAATTTTAACAGCACATCTATTTTCCACATACATTGATTTCAGCGATTGGACAATCAGAGACATGAATCTCAATCAAACATCAGACTCCATGTGTTCCGGGACATTGAGCTGTATTCATGTTAAGTTAGGCTAACCACATTCTGAACACAGACATGGAAGTAGTGTCCATCTTATCTATAAAAAACAATAGTTAATAATAAATAACACATTTTTATTTTAATAATAATTGTATTATTATAACAAATCACGAGGTGTGTTTTATCTCACTTATGTAATAACTTAATAAGATGTTCAGAGTGTCGATGAGAGACGAGCTGCAGAGACGAGAAAAGCTCTTTATTAATAATAATATAAATATTACTGCTGGTGGAGGTGCGTTCAGGTGTCATCGGCTGTTGGAGCAGCTGCTGCCGGTTTGATGAAACACTAATGTACTCATTGTTAAAGTGTCATCAGCAGCCTCGTCTATCTCTGAACAAACACGCCGAGACACTGAACAAACACACAGACAGCTGCTGCTGCTCGCTGCCACGGCACGGAAATAACACACCAAGGACACACCAACGATACACAAATAACACACCAACGATAGACAGATAACACACC